TCAAAGCAATCGCATCAAAGCGCGTAAGCGCCGCGTCGCCGTCTTACGATCAAACGATGTTACGAATCCCATAGAAATGTAAACAAAATTGATACACATTATTAAAAAATCTTTAAAATATCTGATTATTTGATGTGCATATTCTAATGATCATTTTTGACCGCCAATGGCATTTTTTTTTACTTTTTTCACTATATCTCCGAAACCGCTAGACCTGCCCTTCCAAAAGTCAGTTTTTCATCTTGTCGTTACAAGTAAAATCTTTTTTTAATTAATAAAATCGAACGTTCTGTTCTCATAAAAACTCAATTACCGCTTTTGACACTTTTTGCTCCTTATTTTCGGAACGGCTAGACCTGCCTCTGCCAAAAACTAATCAGCACGTCTCCTTATCAATACATTTTGGCATATTGGAAAAAAATGGATTTATTTGTGACGTGTGTATGTTTGGATCAACCATTTTGAATGATTTAAAAACCATTTTATTCGTATTGAGTAGGAGACTTGCTGATTAGTTTTTGGCAAAAGCAAGTCCAGCCGTTAGGCAATACTAGGCAAACAGCGCAAAAAAGTACTATTTTGAGAGAACGGATCATCCGATTTGAATGATTCAAAAAAAAAAACTTTTGGGAAAGCAGGTCCAGCGATTTCAAACTAAAATTCTTATTAATTTAAATAGTGAATATTGAATTAACGGACGATTAGATTAACGTTGTTCAAAACACAATTATTTCAATACAATATGTTGAAAATTAATTAAAGATCTATCCAGATATTGATAAATTTAAATCTTATTTAACAAACAAATAAAACATATATAATAGACAAGGTCGTTTTTGCTTCATTTGTTTGTTTTTTTTTTTTGTAAATTTTAATAAACTTTGTATGGCGATATCAGACGCCTGCAGAAAGTGGTTCAATTATAAAAGTTTATATAAGTTTGCAATAATGGATCTTACTTTTAAGACATACAAAAAAGCAATTTTACTTTCAACGCTAAAAACTTGCTTACTAACATCGGATACATTCAATTAGTCAAAATCATCACTATATGGTTTCATAAAAGTTACGTAGAATTTTAGACAAGCCAAATTGCTAGCGTAAAATTACAACTATAATTTACAATTATTCTATTTGAAAAATTACGTTTATCAAAATTTATATTATTTATATAATCAAATCAAAATATAAAAATATAAAATCAAATATATCAAAATTTATATTGCCAGTGCTTGCACAATGAATAATTATGTGAACATGTTATTTAGTGTTCTTGTTTATCTGATGTTAGTAGGTATGGTTTTATTATTTATATTCGATTATGTGTGATTATATGATATGAACATATTAAAGCAATTTTTATAAAAAGAAATTAATACTTAAACGATTTTCGAACATTCTGTATATTTCTATATATTTCCATACTTTCTAATTCCATCATAAATAGGTATATGTTTTAAATTATACATGCACATGTTCCAAATATCATTGAATATAAAAAAATTCGATCAAATGTATGGAGCCTTTAAAGTTATCACAAAACATATGCTACAATAAGCTTTGGCACAAGCATTAAGTATAATATTTCAATCTAAAGACATTATATTAATATTGTTCTGTATGAAGTAAGTAATATATAACTTATAAATATGACTAGGTAATAAAACATTGTATTTAAATTTAGGGGCCTATTCTCGGACAAATTTTTCTTTATTATCTTATTACTTCAATTAGTCAGATAATATAATTTGCGCTTTAGATGATTTTGCAAGAAGAGGTAATTTAAATGTACCCAATTAGATCATTTTTCTCGCACTCTTATTAAGTGAACATGTAGTAGATAATATAACAGAGAAAGCTTCCAAGAATAGACTTATTTGCATGGAAGACAAAAATTCAACAAAAATTTAAAAAACTTATGCTTAACTAATATTTTTCCTGAATAAATATTATATATAATACAAAAGTTTTTGTACTTGCTAATAATTTATAGGTAATATTTCATCGATATTTCTATTTTAATGCAAATAAGGGCCAATTCCCGGATAAATTACAGATGTAATAATACGGGTCTCTTGGCTGTGCGATCGAGCGTTTCACACATAAAATCTAACCTCCAAAAGGCACAACCTCAGAATATTACCCTTATAATTAGTTAGACGTCACGTATGTTTTGTCAAAGTGACTGAAACACTTTGATAAAATTGTTATTTAACATTTCGGCCTTATGGTGGTTAGGTTTTAGAAGTAGATTTAGAGTAAAATGCTTAATAGTGCATTTGTAGTTCGTTACTACCAACGCACATGATTATAGACCCGTCATATAACATTTCTATTTTATCCGAGAATTGGCCCCATATTCCCTTTCTTCACTCCTTCAATATTAAAGGCTAGAATCGGATCTAACATTAAAATAGGATAATTGAATTATGATTTAGCGTCGAAATTATTGCAGCTAACACTATGACGCATTTATCTTCCGAAATGCATTATGATTAAAACCATTTACTTATGATGAGTCAAAAATTATGTATGGTATATTTTGAATAAGGTAGAGCGGGGCTTTAAGATCCACAGGTAAAAAGATTCATCACAATTATTTCAATAACAAGAAAAACTATAGAATGTTTTAACGGAACTATTGTATAGTAGAAGACAAAAGATGTTTAAACAACCATTTCCTTAATCAATAATAATAGCAACAAAATATATTTTCCTTAGAAGTTATTTTGGTTTTGAGATCTCTTATTTAGTTTATGATACCTGAATGCTGAATATAATATTGGTATACGTTATTTGATTGTCTTATAAGATGTATTGTTATTTTCAAGTTGGATTGAATACTTTTTTTATGTAACCTATAAAAGCTTACATTTGAGTGGAGTAAAAAGAACCGACTAAACCTTTACATTGAAAAAGTAATAATAATAAATAATAAGAAAAAAAGAAAAGGTAAATTAGGTTTAAGAAAGCAATTCAAGAAATAAATTGAATTAATAGTTATTCCAACCATGCTGATGAACATTTCTGGCATAATACCGGATCAAGATTTTATACATTGTGATATTTGTAAAAAATGCGCCCATAAAATTTGTATTTCGCATTGTTTGAATGATGTAGTTAATATTTCGGATTATTGCTCTAAAATTGAAAATAAAACATTGGAACTGTTTACCCCTGATGACAAATTTTATATAATCAGTAAAAAACATATTTATATAATTAGAAATTAACTGAGACTTTTACTGAACTAGTTCGATAGTTGATTGTTTGATACGTATAATTATTGAAGGTCAAATTGGACCTTTGTGCCCCACCTTACCCTAAACGTGTGAATATGATAATGACACATAATGTTGCATGCATAGACCTTCTATTACATGGACTGCTAGGGTATGTGACCTCACATGTCTGAGCGAACATTACCGACGACAATTGCAGACTCTCCCGATTGATTAAATGTCATATGTCATATGTTTTATTTTAATAATATAATGTCAATTGTGATAGCTGATATTTTTGTAAAAAATAATATTAATAATATTTGTCATAATAGTTAATTTAACTCAAATATTATCTGTGATAATTTTATTCCAATAATATAATAGCAATTGTGATAGCTGATAATTTTGTAAGAAATTATTATAATAATAACTCCCTCGTGCAATAAATGTATATAAAATAGAATCCACCTGTTAAAACCGATTTATATTATATAAAGGCCTATGTTAGGCACTAGAGAATGCAATACCGATGGAAAATTTCATTACCGGTATTTCGGTAATTTTTCATTTTAAAACCGGAATACCGGTAAATTACCGGTATTTTTATTATCTTAAACAAATGTAAACAAAATTGAAAGTTACTAGTACAAATATAAAAAAATGTATATACAACTACAACTATATTCAACTAAACAATAAAAACAATAAAATAAAACAATAAGTTTATTTTTTTAAATAATAATTTAACAAAATTATATCCAATTTAATTAATTCATTATCGCTATCGCTATTGAGTATTTTTCACCAAAAACAAACTTATGAGTAAGAAAGACCAAAAACTCATAAAAGATCATATTACATTATTATAATAAACTGTATTGTCTGTATCCGATGTGTTAAATTAGCATAATCTCCAATATTTTAAAAAAATAATTTTCTACACTAATTTAAGATCGGATACTTTGTCAAGATAAATTGTTATTTAAAACAATGTGATGCTTCTATAGTATTTTCAAACTTTGAAACGTTTTCGGAAATTAATATTTTAAAATTTTAATAAGAAGCGAAAATATTTAGTAATTATCATAATTATTATGTATAAAGTTAGAAAAAAATAAAGATTACGCAGAGGTAATCTGTATGATATAAAATATTTTGGCGCAAATATCACTTAAGAAACCGTTACATTTTTACATAAGATGAAACAAACATCATTATCTATAAGTCCAATTCTATTTATTGTAACACGATATAAAGATCTTAGTAAAGCAATAAATATTAAGTTTAATGACGAATTGAGATAATATTTGACATTTGTTTATCCCATCACTTGAAGATATAGCTGTTTATGCGATTATGGAATTTAAAGATAAATTTGTTCCGAGAAATTTAAACTTCAGTGTATTATGTATCAAATAGCGCTTATCTGAAAATATCGGTATTTTTGGGGTAAATACCGGTAAAAATACCGCCGAAAAATCGGGCGGTTTACCGGTAATTCGGTATACCGGTATTGCATTCTCTATTAGGCACGTAACATATGACGGGAGCGTTCAGCGATTGTCGTCGGCAATGTTAGCTCAGACATGTGACGTCGCATATCCTTCATATGTTTGAGAACTATATACAACAGAAAACATATGAGGACTAGTAGTCCTAATGTCTATGAATGCATAGCATACATTAGATTATACAAGAGCATTATGTCAATTCAAATAATTTTTAAAATACATTACTACCAATTTAACAATGTTATTATCTTACCTCTTAGTGACCTTATGCTTCCAAAACGTGATTTAAGTAAGCAATATAGCATATAGCAAGTTTCAATATTTCAATTTTTGAAAGCTTCTTATCTGGTGGCAGAGTGGGCAAGAGTTTCCTAAGTTCTGCGAAAGCGACGTTGAAAGCTTCTACGCGCACGCGTTCTCGGGTGGCGTGGGCAGTGCGATATTTGGCTGTGGCCCGCCTGCGCCTTCGCCGTTCTTCTCTCGACAGATTTCCATTATTCGAATTCGATGTGTTGGAATGGTTTGAAGATGCGTTGGAAATAGGAGAATCGGATAGACCATTTTTTGAGGTTGAAGGACTGTTCTCAATTGGAATATTCGTTGCTAGGCTGAAACAATATTGATTCCTAATTATGCTAATGTATATCAGAATAAATTTCATGTAGTAGTTTTAATTTATTACTAGCTGCGACTAATTCGCGTGAAATTCAACAAAAAGTTTTAAGTTTTTCTTTTATTATTTTCAGTTTCCTGAATCAGCCTTATCTTATTTATAAAAATGAATCGCAAAATGTGTTATTAAGCGCATAACTCAACAACATCTGGACTAATTTGGCCAATTCCTTTTATTAAAATGTCCGTTGGAGTCCAAGGGTGGTTCTTACGGCGAGAAAAAATCGAATAATTGCCGGAAAAACCCTAAAAACAGCCCTTTTCCTTTTCACATACAAACATTTTCTAACTAAAACTTAGAATCAATTTGAGCTTTATTGCTATTATATAAAGTTCATATTAAATTACGAACACTCACTGTATACTCCTTCTAAACGATTATTCGGATTTTGATAAATCTTTCTGAAGTTTGTTAAGAAAATTTTCTAGGATGTATGTGATTATAAAGTAGTGGGATGTATGTGCAATATTGTAGAAATAAATGGTAAAAACTTGCAAAAAACGTGATGTCAATGTTTGAATAAGATTCGGATATTAAATTTTCAATATATAATTCCTTTGCATCTTTTACTAAACTTTCCACAATATTTTTAAAATTTGTAAAAATTTCACTTTATAACAACAAATGAGAAAGTAAAGATGAATACATACAATTTTGGATATCTTAAATAATATAAAATTAAATTAATTTTATCCAACGTGAAGTACCAGTGTAATGTTATGGTTATGGTTATGTTTAAAAGACTTCAATTTTGAATATAGTGTGAGAATTGAGACTCATCATTTTATTTAAAGCAGTTCTACATTTAACATCGCTCACATTATAAATGTATATGCATTTTGGCGTATAGAGTAATTTAAAAAACAATTATTATTTTTAGGTAAACAGTAAATATTAGTGTATTATATTAAAAAATTGTAGACATGGGTACAGGACAACGTAGGATTTATTTCTCGGGATAATACAACACCACATTAGCTTTTTTCAAATTTTTTTGAGAGATTTGACTATATTTTAATCAGCAGTAATAGAAATATATTTTAGAAATTAAAATTCAAAAAAACAACTATTAACGTTACTAACTAAAAATCGACCATATAAGTAATAGATAATACTTTATAATATAAATAATACCCTATAAGTAATTGATCAATTTCAAAGCAAATCTGAATATTGAACACAAATGTACTTAATTTATAATAATTTTTTAATTTTAAGAAAAGTTAAAATTGTAATAAAATAGTTTGAATTAGAATAAGGTATGATTTATAATGTAAGATACAAGAATGTTATTAATAAACAATTTTGAATTGACATAAGATCAGATAAAATGCTAAACCAAATTAATTATCCTTCCCTAAATTTACAGATAGTTAAAATAATATAGTATAATATAAGATGAGACACTTTTTTCTAAACTTTTTTAAAAGATGTTAATTTTATAATATATAATGATTTTATAATACATAATTGCCAAAAGATTTACTTAATGTCTATGTAGGACAGTTGTAAATATATTGTTGAATAAAAAAAAAGAAAATTATAATAAACAAGGGGGGGAGAGGAAATCTTTGATTTGTGGTACTCTCATACCTTGAACATGCCTTCGCGTAGACTACTATTTATTATATATATATATATATATATATATATATATTAACATTATAAAACACTAAAAACATAACGAAAATCATAAAATAAAAATTAAAAATTATATATATATATATAGTATGGTATAAAAATTATAAATTATATAGTATGGTATATTTTGAATAAACGTAGACTACTATTTATTATGTATATATATATATTTATATATATATATATATATTAACATTATAAAACACTAAAAACATAACGAAAATCATAAAATAAAAATTAAAAATTATCACGTCTATTTTTTTTATAAAATTATGATTCTTTAACCATCATTTCCCAATGCAGGCTAAGGTTTTCATTTTTTAATTCGACGAATTGGCTGCTATATGCATAAATTATAATTTATAATAATATACGTAATTATTATTTAGACTTTATGTAATTAAGTATAACTCGAAACATTGTATAAAAATAATGCTACTATGCCCTAAACTCCTATATATTTTTTTTTTTTTTGATCAGCAATCAGAACCTAATAAATAATGAGATATTACAATTTTCATTATTTACCTTCCGGTTAAAAAAAAAATTTAACATTAAAACAAATTTTAAAATTAAAAAAATTACGTATGTATGTTTTCTCTAAAACATCGACTTAACCCTCCGTCGGTCGGATATTTTTTCACTTTCGAACGGTCGGAGTGGTCTGGCTGGACCATTATCCATTTTACATGCATTTATATGGGATAAATGAGTTTTTGGTGTCTTATATATTAACGATTATTAGTAGTACATATTTATAGTTTAGATTTTTTTCTTTTTTTACCGTCTTTTGCATGTGTGAGCTCGCTTATAATATAAAAAAATATTATATTATATTATATAAAAAATGAAAGAATATAAAAAAATCGTTGCTTTTTTAATATTTTTATTTTTCTGTTTTATATCAATGAAAAACAATATTTATTCTTTTTCGACTCCTTCGAAATGAATGTGAAATTCAAATGAAAACGAAATGAGGTGCGTCGACTTTGAAATGAGCTGTAAAATTCAAGTTGAAAATATAATTTCACTATAGGTTTGCCAAAAAAAAATTCCAACGCAGTACGGGTATAATAATTGTTGATAATGTGCGCATTACTCATCCGATTTTCAATGTTTGCGATGACCAATAAGTTTGGTACATTTTCAAGGAACTCTCGTCGTGAAAATACTAACATTCATGTTACAACACATAGCAAAGATTATATAAAATGCAGTTTGAATAGAAAACACCAGAAAAAAGACAAAATACTGGTTTACATATATCAAAAAGCGTATATTTCATACAAAATGTATGGGTGGTCTAGACAGAGACCACTCCGACCTTTCGAAGTATAAAAAAGTTATTATCCTTATAATTATCCTTCTGTGCATTTTTTCGTCCTGATTTTTTCATTGATCGACAGCTAATGAAATTTTAGGAAAAGTCAAGAAATTTCAAGTCGATAGGATTACTAGAATTTTTTTTTTTTAATTGAAGTCGAAAAAAGTTTGGCCAGACCACGCCGACCGACGGAGGGTTAAAAATGTTTATCATAACAGTTTTGTTTACTTTAATCACTCATAGTAGTTTTGTGATATGATTGATCAAATTATTTCTTTGTAATCAACAGCTGAATGAAAAAAAATATAATGTTTTTGTAAAAATTACAGAACTAGTTAAACCACTACTTACTAGATAGCAACTTCGAATTTTACTAATTAGTTTTAGGGTACGTAATTAAATTTGTTTGAAAATCTATAAATTAATAAACTAATATTAAAAATACCGTGTCAAGGTATGAAAAATTTGCAATTGTAAAAGCATTTATATCTAAAAATGCTGCAGCTAAAATGAAAATTATTTAAATTATCTCTATTATCTAAAAGGCGGTAAAACATGTAACATGATTATATTGACCAGTCAACTAAACTATAGAATAACTAAAAATTGATTTACCTCGTCTCAGTGCAGCCGGTAGAATTGCTGATGACCGTCGATTGCGCGCCTAGAAAACCAACTTGGGGCAAAATTGGTGTAAAGCTTTGGCTACTAACATCGTGTTTGTGACTATCATATGATATGTGATTATTAGTTGGATTTTGGTGTGGAATATTATGATGATTGCCTCTGGCGAATTGGTGGTTTATCGTGTTGGCATACGATGCATACACCATTTTTGAAAAACGCCAAGAACAGTTGTTGAAGATAATCTGGAATTAAATGAAGTTCACTGGTTTACTGTACAGAAGTATTGTTTTTAGTGCAATATATATATATATATATATATATATATATATATATATATATATATATAGTTAACAGCAACGTTTTATTACTATATTTACCTATCTAATACAACAATAAGACTCATTACAATATTAAAAACTTTCTTTAATATCACGAAAAGGTTCTTAAAGTTATTACTGACTTTTTTATAATTATTATTAATATGGTCATTATTATCAGTAAAGATTGCTTTAATTTTATCTTTTAGAATTCATCAATTCAACAATAATTTACATAAATTACAGATTCCAGACTCATAAATTTATAATACAAAATCTTAATGTAATATAAAAAATTGAATCGTCTTATATAGAAGAAAGTATTCTGGACTAAGGCATGAATTTTATGCGATTTGAAATTCAGTGAAAAAAGGCAAACAATATTTTTGCTATATTTTTCTACAAGTTATTAATTAATGTTTTGATAATATAAAATAAAAAATTAAATATAGTCATGATTTTAGCCATGCTCATGATTTTAGCCCTCCAAAAAATCTGAAGAAAAAAATATTTATATACTATTAATCTAGAATAATGTCGCTATCGTATGAATTTCGGACAAGTTATAAAATTAAGTTTTTCACGAAATAGCGAATTTAAAAATAGTAAAAATCGAAATGTGGGGATAAACGTAGTTCATACTGAAGACTAGTCTATAAAGAAAACTGTAAATTTTGCAAGTAAATCGGTCCAGTAGACGTTGAGAAATCGTGGTTACCATATCAAAAAAGTCAGTTTCGAGAAAAACGCCTTTAACTTTCGGAGAAAAAAGAAACGAGGAGGAGCTATATCTTCGAATATGATTTAAATTTCGGTAAATCCTATTGTACAGATATTCTTGAACAGTTAAACTTTATACTGCTTAAGTACAATAAAATGAACTTTACGTTTCTATTATATTATAATACCTTATATAATAAAGAATAATCAATAATTATATTGAATACTTCATCCACTTAGTATATATCAGTAAATATTTATAAGTGAAATCGTATTAAACCCAATTATTTCCAAAACTTGTTTTCGACAAACCATGACTAAATAAAAGGGTGTTAAATAACCCTTAAATAAGGTTACACTTCAATGCGAATGGTTGTATCAAACCCTTTTCATATAAATTGCATTCTATTGCGTATTATCTGCAGATGTGATCAACCTTACCCGAAAAGCAATTTGATATAATCAGGTTTTATATAGAATCATTTGAAAATTAATAGTCAATGTCCATGATTGATTCTAGTAAACTATAAAATAAATATATAAGTAATTACAATTTAAATCTTCAAATTTAGTTTAAGCTTTCGGTTGTAAAATATTTTATATTCGATACATCACAACAAGTAATTGATATTGATTCATGCTGTACTTTTCTATATAGTGTTTATTAATGTCTTGAGACATAAATTATTTATAAACACAGTAAAATTAAGTTACTTTGAGCTATTATATTACCATTTGGTATTAAAATGCAAATAAAAGGTATATTTATACATATTTATATTTATCATAATCATGATAGAAACTATACAAATAATTGAATTATTAACTAAAGCAAGTTTAAGAAACAGTTTCGAATGTAAGGTATGATTAAAAAATTATTTAAAAGAAAAAAATCATCTAATCTCACAGTAAGTGTTATGGATAATGTGCTATAGATTAAAGTTATAAAATTAAAGGAAGAATTTAATTGTTGGGAAAGTTAAAATTGGATTATGACCCTAGAGACCTGCTACAGTAATAGAAAAGAGGATTGTGAACCCTTATCGAAATGTCACCCTTATAAATAGTTGCGTAACAAGTGCACGTACGTGTTCGCGAAATCATATATATATATATATATATATATATATATATATATATATATATATATAAACACCATAGATAAACAATAATATTTTAACAGGTGTTTTAAAATAAGTATTCGAAAAATAAATTATTTGACCCAGAATGAAGTATAATATAGTTATAGTAATAGCTCGAAAATCAAAAACAACTTTTTTTGCATTTCTTCACGTTTCAGAGGTTTCTGATCATTTTGGCATATCTCAGAAAAAGTGTGTGTATGTGTGGTGACAATTTGTCGTCGACGATTTCGGGCGTATCCGATTTGAATTATCCAAGAAACATTCTGCTTGTGTTGGCAAAACAATTGTTTTTGGAAAAAACTTGGAAATTTTTTTTTTCCTAGATTTTTTTTTGTATATCGAAAATAATTCAGATTTTAAATTTAATTCTGGCTTAAGTTCTACAGTTCACTTATATACATTAAATAAATAATTTTAACTTTGTAATTCAGTTTATATAATTTTTAAAATAATAGAAAATGTTGAAGTATTTATAAAATTCTATTTGAAAACATTTAATATTCCTCGATCGTTTCGTTACGGTACGGGAAGTTCCAGCAATTTGCCTTAAGGCACGATACCATACACCACTAGTTTTATTTTCATTTACTGGGGATGCCAAAATATTATAACTTATTGAATGCAAAATCGAAAATAAACTTATGATGTTTAAAAAACAGTTTAAAAAAAATTAAATTTTAAGCTGTATATTTAATAAACCCATCGTTTAATTCTTTCACGAAACTTTGATATATATTTTTATTCAATTAATTATTTATTGTATACAGTATGTATTGCATGCATTACAGTATTGTTCATTCCATCAGTTTTCTTTTAAAAAAAAAAAACGGCGGTGTTACGTACTTTTAAACATAATCCTGCTTTGATATCGATATCTAGTCAATAATTCATGGTTATATGTGTAAGGGGTTAGAATATATTTTACAAATCGTCAGAGATTTTTGTGGTTATTGCCGATTTATTTATAGAATTATATATGAGAATAAAGATTTGTGTTGACAACGTCATTTATTATTGAAACGCTTATGAAGAATATATTTTACACTTTATAAGTACAAACTCGGTAAGTACATTTTTCAAGATGTAAATATTAGAATGATCATTTTGATCGTTTTTGCACATCTCAGATGTATTTTGTACTTCTAATATGACTAATATTAATTCATAACTGCATTATCATTTAGGAATTTAGTGAAGGCAAAAAAAGAATTAAAAATCAAAATATATAAAAAGGCCTAAGATGAGATATTCATTTAATAGCAAAATCGCTTTTCAACTTATTCGAAATTTAATAAACTTGAAAACATATTAAAGAAAAATAATTTACAATATGAAAAGTTGAGAAATTTCTTAATTAGATAATGCGAAAATTGCAATTAGAATTTCTGTAGAAAACAAAATATATAAAGGTTTCAAGACTAAATATAATTTAACTATGAAATTCTTTCAATAATATTAACGATGATAAATTAAGCTATTAACTGAAAATTTGAAATTGTATTAAAATTAGTGGTTAGTAGTAACATACCACCAAAGTACATTTTAATAATAAGTAATAAAATGATTAGAACTGGTGTATATTGCAAAAAAGTCAGTACAGTCAAGTGATCTGTTGTTTACTCATTTGCTGTGGCAGTTTTAGTAACAATTATGTTAAATGTATTTCAACTTTCTGAAGAATTTTTTTTTTTCAGGAAAGTTGATTTGCAAATTTTATGTTTTCATTCTGAATCATGTGACATCAAAATCGGAAAAGTTTGTCTGTGTATGTAAGCCAAAATTGAACCTTTTGCCGACGTTTTCTCAAAAACGACTAAATCTATTTCAAACAATTAAAAGTCATTCGATGAAGAGAAAACCAAAACCGACTTTAAAAATTTACTACTTTACTTTATTACTTTATTTCGAAAGATAAACTACTCGGGAATTATTATCGGGATTAGGTTTTGATAAAAATCGGCCGGGGCATTTCTTCGCCTTAAAAATCATAAAACATTATAGATCTACGAGAAGTGCTTTAATTATAAGAATTCACTAAAATTTAGAATAAATGGCCGTACCAAAAATTCATAATATTATTTTATTTGTTTTAAGACTTGCTGAATTTCCATTTTTATTGATTAAGTCTTGTCGATTAATTTACACATATCGGGAAGTTTTTGCAACTTGCCTTAAGCAAAATGCCACTTAATGCGATATATAATTCATGATTAATAAACATTTATGATTTGCGATAAACTATGATTATCGATCAGAGAAGTTTTTTTCGAAAACACTTGCAAATGTTATTATTAGTACTTTTCAACACCTACACATACCAGTGAATTAATCCTTTGAATTTTCCCATCTGCCGACCATATGTGCGGAATTAAACTTGGTAAAATATTAAAATTTCTTCTTTAAATTTCACTTGCACATAATACTTAAATTTTGAATCGTATTAAAACAGATTGATTTATATATGTAAAAATATTGGTTTTGATCGTTATACTTCGACAATGTATTCGACACTATCTGAAAGTCATCTGGGTGCCAGATTTTATCTGAAGCATGTGTAACCGTATATATGTGTATTGCATATTAATATGAGGGGTTGAAAAAGATTTGGCATAAGAGAAGGCGTGGTCCAATCCGGAGGGATGCTGCAAATATATATTATATACAAATATAATAATGAACATATGTATATGCACATATAAATATATACATATACAGTTAGATATATATATATATATATATATATATATATATATATTTCTAGGATAGAACACACCCTTCAGCATATGGACCAATAGGAGATGAAATCTCTGGAAATCGAAACGTGAAATAGGCGGTTCCTCATAATATACAAATACACCCGGAAACCACACACCTCTACTTGACCAAAAACATACATTAACACACATATATACATAGTTTCATCAAAGACAACTCATCAAAAATGAACAAATCCATAAAAATTAAAAAATAATTGATTTGAACATTTTGACGAAGTTATATAAAAAAATGCAAAGAAAAGCAACA